CCAAATTTGTGTTCCCCCCCCCCCCCCCATTTATAATGCACCTTCTGTCATTTACTGGTAAGCAAAATAAGCAAAAACAACACAGAGAGACGAAGATCCAGAAAGAACTGTGAACATTTTTTATTTTTTATTGAGTTATAACTTTCTTTAACTGTCTCAATATCTTTAACTTTTATTCAGAGTTATTTGTGTTAAATGTAGGTCAAGTATTGATCCAGGCTGATCTTGCGCAATCTTTAAAACTTCGCTCTTGCTCATTACTGAGACGTCTGAGCCTGCATGTCATCCACCAGCTTTTTGAAGTTGGGTGAATATTGCGTGAGGGCCAGTCTCAGGGAATCCTGGAGACGTTCATCTGTCATGTTGGAACACTGTGTACTCTTTGTCATTTTCAGATGGGAAAACGCAGATTCACACAAATAAGTTGAGCCGAAACAGGAGTGTACAGCTTCACTGCATCTTCTCAATTTTGGAAATAAAAAAACCCCAAACACCTGTCCAGCAAACCTGGAGACCAATTGGGGCTGGTGATCTACCTCTGACCCCTCCGTGATCTACTGGTAGATCGCGATCTACCTGTTGGACATACCTGCTCTAGAGCCATCAGGAGAACATTCAGATACATCTGGCTTTGGTAGCATATAATTCTAATATATTTCTCTGCCTCTAGTAGTGGTTTGGTGTAGTGGTTAAGTGCACGGACTCTAACCTGGAGAACCAGTTTTGATTCCCCACTCCTCCACTCGCTGGATGACCTTGGGCAAGCCATAGTTCTGTCAGAGGTGTTCTTGAAAACAGCAGTTTCTGTCAGCGCTCTCTCAGCCCCACCTGCCTCCCAGGGTGTCTATTGTGGAGAGGGGAAGGGAAAGGAGTTTGTAAGCCACTCTTAGACTACCTCACAAAGTGTCTGTTGTGGGGAGGGGAAGGGAAAGGAGTTTGTAAACCGCACTGAGACTCCGAGTGAAGGGTGGGGTATAAATCCAATCTCCTCCTCCTCCTCTACAAAGGCTTGGTTTCCCAGTCTAAACCTGAACTAATAATGATCTGTGCATAACAAAAGAACTGTTATCAATTCCTCCATCTTCAGATGGCCTACCTCTTGCCAGAACAAAATATAAGATCATGACCTGCACAATGTGTGGTACCAGTTATTACTTGAGCTAAGCCCAGTACCCAGGGGGACACATTTGGGAAAGGTTAACCCATCCCCCAGCCAAGTCTCACTGATACATGCCAGGTCAGCCCTACATTTTTCAAAGCACTACAAAATATCTATATTCAAGAATAAACATTTGAAGATAACACTGGTTTGATTCCAGAGCATCATGAACTTGAGGGATGGATCTGCCCTGCTTGAAGAATGGATCTGTCCTGTCTCCTCCTCCTCGTTACAGCCCACTGGGTTCCTCCAGATATTGACTCCTGAGGCAATTACGGGAACCTTGGGGATGTAATTTGGGGACCTACACAGGAGGGGGAATAAACTAAAACTGCCCTGTCTTTTCCACTAGCAGAAAATAACTTGACACCTAGTCCATTGTTTGCAGTGATGCAACAAAGTTAGCCTACCCATCATGCAGTAACACCTGTTCCTGAGAATATGTAGATTATATCAATTACATACAACTGAAATATCAAATCTTTGAGGGCCCTCTAATCTGTTACACATGACTGATGCAGCACTTCATTACCAAGCAGGTTCTTTTTTCTCTCTGTCTCAATGATACAATGAATATATTTTTCTATGATTATAACTGGTTTTAAATATCTTAATGTATGTATTGTTTTATGTTATGTTATGATTTGGTAATATGACTTGTAAGCCGCCCTGAGCCTACGGGGAGGGCGGGATAGAAATAGAAATAATAAATAAATAAATAAATAAATAAATATAAGAATGGGCTTCTAAAGTTCACACTATTTCTAAAAGGTGTCTAATACTGTTTTCTAAACTGAAGGCCATCTGGTTAATGATTTATGGGAAGCCAATTCATTCGTGATATTAATTTGGTGGCACCTGACTCAGTAGCTAAAATAATTGTATTTAAATTTAATAGCTAGTAACTGATCAGGCTATACAGACCTAGATACTCAGTTCACTTTTCAGTAATCCCATCCCATTGCATTTTAACTTCATCCTGTTTCACATTACATGAGATTTGATGTGTAAGTCTATGTGATGTTATTTGTATGTTATTGTTGGCAAAGATGCCATGGTATTTAGATATCAGTTTTTCATATATTATTAGTACTGATTTAATATTAAAAATATGACATGTTTCAGTGTGAAAATCAAATTATGATAGGTTTTTGTTCTCCATGATTAGAAATAATGATATACTCAGGTCTGTGAATTATAATCTGGGTTGGTTTTTTTACTTTTGGACTTTCAAACACAGTTTCAGTCATTAGAGATGAGAAAGGATGCAATGGAAATAACAAGTCAAATGGTATGTTTAGTGAGTAAGCAGTAAAATTCCAAAGGAAGGAGCTTTGGTCTCTAAATGAACTATGAAGAGACAGAGATGCAGGGGGTGGTGGAAATCTTTGTACCTTTTTTCCTGTGTAATTCTTAACCAGGGACATATTTAGCACTTTCAAGATCTTTGCAAGATGTTTGCATACAGCAGCTATTACAGCACCTGTGTCTTATAATTACTACATACCTCCTGTGCATTCTTCACAATACTGAGATGGATCCAAAATACTGCAAGAGGAGTGAAGTTTGCGCAACAGGAATTTCCATCACCACCAGCCTACTATTCTGCTCTTGGGGGACAGGGAACCCTCATGAGCCAGTATGAGAGCAAAGGGGGGGGGGATCTGCGATGGGAAGAAGGAATCAATAAGACTCCCCCATTTCCCCAACAGAAGAGTGATACCCTCTGGTTTAGGTGCTCTTACATTATTTACTTGTTGTTTTCTGTCTTTGCACGTAGTTTTGATGTGATGAATTAATTAAATGTGTTGCAGGCTTAAAGAGGCTGAAGAAGTATGCAGACAGAAAAAGGGGAAATCAATTTACAATATAAAACAAAAGCACGATTCTGGAATTGTAAGTATAGTTTGCTCATGATTTTTCTCCTGCTATGCTTGAGGGATAGTTTGGAATGACCCTGTCATCATGTGATCAGAAGACTTCACTCTCTCCTAGTGAGGCTGAAACTACAGAGTGATCTAGTGATCAATACTATTTGGATTACTATTTCACTATATAGAAATTCACTATATATATATTCACTATATATAGAGAGAGCCAGTTTGGTGTAGTGGTTAAGTGCGCGGACTCTAATCCGGGAGAACCGGGTTTGATTCCCCACTCCTCCACTTGCACCTGGCTGGATGACCTTGGGCAAGCCATAACTCTGGCACAGCTGTTCTTGAAAAAGAGCAGTTTCTGTCAAGAGTTCTCTCAGCCCCACCTACCTCACAGGGTGTCTGTTGTGGGGAGGGGAAGGGAAAGGAGTTTCTAAGCCGCTCTGAGACACCTTTGGGTAGTGAAAGGCGGGGTATAAATCCAATCTCTTCTTCTCTTCTTCTAGAATCAAATTGTTCTTTAGGACCTGGAGGCTGCTGCTGATAATAACTGTAGTGGTGAATGCATACAGCAGTCCAATATGGTAGATTATAGTCATTTCAGTGGCACACTCATGGATCTGCCAATCTACGGAGGAGACCAGATTTATACAGCTGTTTGGTTCCTTTACTATATCTTCATTTCACACTTATTTTCACATCATCAGTCTTGTCAAATATTCCCTATATTTTTCAGTGATATTTTTGCATCTTTTTTCATATAATATGGCATAAAGGTGCTGTAAAAGAAATAAAAGAATGACCAGCAACAACATTTAGAAGTACCAAAACTGAAGACAGTGAAAACATACAGAAAAAAAGAAAGGGAGATTTACTCATCCCTGCTCCTAATATAAGGGAGAAGAAGGGTTTGCAAAGCAAACAACCAAGAGCATGTTTTACCTTTTAAAACTTGGGCTAGCTCCAACTCCCACCAACCTATGGAGTGGATTGGGCTCCAGTCATGAAAAAGTAAGGGGGGATTTTAATCATTCCCCCTTGCTGTACCTTATGTGCGAAATGGCATTTTTTTTTTGTTTTTTGAGAAGCAGTGGCTTTATGGAACAGTAAAAGGAAAGGGAAATAAAGGAAGAGTCACTTATGTGAACTCAGGAATTTCAGTTCAACCCCCCCCCCATGTTTGCTTTTAGCAAGTAAGTCCCACATTAGCTTTTTTTTTAGAAGGCAAAGCTTAGAAAAGAGCCTAGACCATACCATACGAAAATGTAGAGTTTTCCTGTATAAATCGCTCATGTGGTTAAGGGGAATTTCAGTTTAGTAATTTGCTGTTTATTTATTCATGACATTTATATTTCTCCTTTCTGCCCAGTCAGGGCCACCACGGTGGCTGATTTACAGAGGCTGATTGTGCTTACTATTTTTATTCAACTAAGTGACAAGCCAACATAGGAAGGATATGATTTTAAATGCCAGACAAATGACCTTTTTTTGCATTTTCAGATTCCATTTTGCGGGTCAATTTGACAGCCAAACATTCTGATTTAAATGGATTACAGTTGTAGTCTGGTTTAAAAAAATGTCAAAAAATAATCTTTGATCTATTGCCAGTCCATTGATTTTCTGCCCATTTTGTCTGTTCATTTCCACAGACATTTGAATTTAATCTTAAGCATATTGTATAAAATCCTGGGACTCTTTCCATGATGCATCTCATATTATGAAGGATGCTGGTTAGTGGCCTGTAGAGTCATAGCAGCTGCAGAAGTGGCTGTTGATACTGTGGGAACTTGCCACTTTTCTGAAAATCTTGGCAGAGGGGTGTATTTAAAAATTCAGCAAGTTTGGTAGATAATCATTCCAGAATAACGAGGATCTAAGAGTCACAATAATAAGCATTACCGAGTTGCCTGACGTCTTTCCATAACCTATTGATGTCAAGAGAATGGTCACTAACCCCGCTTGTCTTAAAAAAAACACCCACATGTAATATTTTCTACAATTGTCCAAGGGTGAAAAATGCTCCATGCATATAAGTATCCCATGCATGTCCTTTCAGTTATATCAGGTAACTATTACAAAGACTTCTATAGGTGGTATTTACGATGGCGGAAATTCTGGATGTCAATTCTCATATACATTTCCCAGTGGAATGGAATTATTCATAATTGGTGTTCAGGATCATAGCCTAATATCAATGGTTTAGCTAATGTTACTGTGCTTCAGATATTAAATAGCTTCAGAAATTGTTTTTCATGGGATTCATTCATGTAATGATACATTGGCAGTGTTTTGTGTTCTTCAACAGAGGGCCTTCGCTACAGATGTTCAGAGTTCTCCTTGTCTGACTCATTTCCAGAATTGGGGGGTTCTAATACATGGTCTAGTTTCTAACATAGAACTGATGAATTAGGAAGTTTCCATATTTTTATTTCTGAATATTGCACAAAACGCTGTACCTGCTCAGTTATCCAAAGCTTTCAGTTCATTTAGCTCACGCATGTCCTTCCTATTCTTTACCCATGGATTCACTCTGCTCTCTGCTCCTTAATTTCCATTTATATAGGATTGAAATCTAAGATTACAGAAGAATGAGAGCAAAAAAGCAGTCCTGAAGTGCTTATGAATATGATTGCATCAAAATTCTTTTTGTGTGGTCTTCTGCAGATTGAGAGTGCTCCTTTCCATTGGTAAAACACATTATAGAAAGAACCTTGATACAATCATGCCAGTAACCACAATGAGATTTTGCTGCTATTGTTTGTGTGTGTTAATGCATAAATGTGCATTGGTGATGTAGAAAGGGAAAAGTTGCGAAGGAACTGGCAGAACTAAAAGCAGTGGCAAGCTAATGCTCTCATTCCACAATGATTTTAGACATTCTCCTACATAACCCAAAATTAGGAAGGGCTGGAACTCAGAGCAGAGTGAATCCATGGAACAATAAATAATTGGGATGCAGAAAATCCAGTCATTAAGTCATTACTGGCACTAGCCCCTTAAACACGATAAGTGCCCCTAGTTGTTTCTCGCTCTGTGTTTAAAGAGCAGTGGAGGTTTGCTGATTTGTATCCCCCGAGGTTCTTGAATGTTTGCTGATGTGGTCTAGAATTTTGGAGCAACCCTTTTCACTCAATTTGATTTTTTGTTTTATTTCCAGAAAGCAAAGATAAGTATGAAAATCTGAGTGAAGAAAGGCATGTGTCATTGTGCCACCTGTTCAGAAAGCTCAAAATGTCTGTGGATGGGGGGGAAAAGAAACCACGCTGCTCATTTCTTTCCTTGTCTTCATTTGTATTTGTTTTCTGTTCTTACTGACCATATACACCAAGCATTCATTGATAAACAGATTTACTGTATGGAGTGCCCAATAAAGAAGTTATGCAGTTGAGACATGTCTCTTCTATGTACCCCGCACTGTTATTCTCATCCACAGTTATCTTGTAACATGTATGGAAGAATACTAATAATAATTGAAGCAGCAAGAGGAAGCATCTCTGTCAATCTGAAGCATACTGTAATCTGTAATAAACTTTGCATATACTATACGTTTCCATATAGTAACATCTTTCCAAAGCTACTGTGCTTCAATGCTGCCTTTAGATGGAGGGGAATTCTTGTGGGTATCATTGTTAGTCTGTGGCAGCAAAACCACAAAGGAATCTTGTGGCAGTTTAAAGACTTACAGACTTATAGAAAGATAAGCTTTTCTGGAGTAGGGTTTGTTTTGCCAGGTGCATGGTGGGAATTTTCAATCAGCAGCTATCCATGTATTGGATTGGATCCAGCGGTGCACAGATACAAGGATAGCAGCTCTTTCTTGCATTTCCCCTCTTCTCAATAGGCCTATCCAACCCTGGGAGAGTTCATAGTTGGGGTCACCGGGCCCACGTGGGCTAAAACCCATACAGGTTGGGGGGAGGAATCTGAAGGGGAGCAAAATCATTATTTCCTCAGTCTTCTGTCAAGTGGGGTTAGAGGGACTACTGGGAAGAGAGGAACATGGGAAAGATCCATGATGGCCAGTATCTTCCACTGACGGATTCCTGGAGCCAGAGCATAGAGAGAAGGGGGTAGCATGAAATGCAAGCAAGCTTGTGACATTTCTATGCAAAACTCAAAGGTATACAGAATCTACCAGGGGCTGAAAGTCACCATTCTTCAGCAAAGGAACTTAAGAAGTAGATTCCAGAGGGGAAACTGCTGAATTAGAATTGATCAGTGAATTTGTGTTAACTAAGGCTTAACAGCGCCAAACACCATTCTTAGCCTCTACACATTTTTAATTGTTTATCATGTCTAAGGAGATGGTATTACCACCAATTGCAGCTGTTTTGGTTGCTCACTGTGCTTACTTCTGAGTTTCTCACAGAACGGACACAAAGTTACACATTTCATGGCCTTTTGATGCAGTGTTCAGTTCTTCTCTCCCCCCTGCAGACTGTGATTTCACTACATGTAACTGGTCACAAAAAAACCATGCTTCAATAAACCTGGTAGTCTTTAAGGTTGCTACAAGACTTCTTTCTTAAGGGGAAGAATGCTACTTCTCAAGAACTGTGTATATCTGTTCCATATTGATGTCTGTAGTTTGTATTTTGAATCGGTAAAGTACTCCTTTTGCACTATGCGCTACACTCTCCAAATCCATTTGGCTGCCCACTGGAGAAATATATCTGAAACAAGATGTTCAGCACAACTATCTCTGTGGTCGATGAGCTGGAACATGTTCCTCATCTTCTGCCAGGTATTAAAGAATGGAATCAAAATAAAGGAAAGATACTGAAGTGTAGCAAGGCACAGGAGTCCTTCAGAGAGTACTAAAGAACCTGAGGTACTGCAATATGCTACATCCCCTTAAAAAGAAATATACCACTCTACTTTTTTACAGCATAACAAGAAGCTACCAATGGATGCTTTTTATCAAGCATTTGAAGACTATCATTTAAAAGAATCCACTTTTATTAGCATTTTGGATCATATTATAAACCTTAGTAACCTATTTGACAGAGAGGACTGCTCATTCATCCAGGTTAGCTTGCATTTTATTGAGTACTCATACACTATTCTACATTAACAGTTGCAGCTGTTTTGTGTGTCTTCAGTTGGAATCACAAAAAACATACCTGATGATTAGTCAGTTCTGGTTTAGAGCACCTCCACCACACACCACATTGTTTTTCCAAAATTTCTTGCAGAGAGCCAAAATGGGGGGGGGGGTAATGTGCAGATATCCTAAAGCTCTGTAGCATGGAAGGTGCTAGGGTGGTTTTGAGTTCTGCTGAAATGATTTATTCTCCGTGTAGCTCAGAACATGATTTCTGGTTGCCAAGATGTTAATATGTGGTTCCAGGGATCATAAAGGCTGCATAAATTATGACCTCAGGAATTGACTTTTTAAAATGCCAAGCACTACAGATATATTTTTCATTTGTTGGGAAAGTTATTTCCTGGTATATAATCTGACTGAAACGCTGCTGTTTTTGGGATAGCTCCTGAGAGTCCCTGATGCATTTTTCCCAGAACTGCATTATAAAGTCCTATAGTGTTGGGAATAAAGTTATTTCTTGGGAAAAGGAAAAGAGAAGATTGCTTATTGTTATGAAAGACATTATCAAAAGCAAATAAAAGATATTTTAATAGCACTGATTAAAACCCATGTTTGTATTTATGTAAGCTATAGACTTGCTGTTTAACTTTTGCATTCTCCTTTATTTAAGTGCATTTAAAGACATGGTAGCATGTTTCCGTTTTTGTAGCCTTCCTGTTCTCTTCAGTATCTATAGTATGTTTATTGCCATACTAAATTAAATGAGATCGCTCTGTGCAATACTGTATTTAGTGTTTCTATTCCAATTTTTTTTAGAATGTTAATTTATATGAAAAATAAATAATAAGATCTGAGTTGCATGTAGTGCTTTTCTTGGGCTCTCGTCATACTAAGATGATGATGATTATCTTCAAGAACAGTGATATTTTACAGCTTTAAATATAAAAAATGCTCCTTTTGAAAGACTTGCTGTCTAAATGGTGACTACAAACAAGTATGGGTGTAGAAGGAACAGGAAAAGAGAAGCAAGAATATGCAAATTTACAATTTTTAGATTGTAGGGTTCTCATAGATATAGCTGGGTCTGCTCCCAAAAAGCTCTTTTAAGATAGCACCTAGGTTACCTATCCAAAGTCCTGCCTTTCTCTGGGCACACTTAAAAACTCTTCTTATTACTGCACTGGTGTACCACAAGAAACTGTGATGGGGAAAGTCGTGAAAATCTAACATTAAATCTTCCTTAATTTAGACCTAGGCATTCTTGGAATGGGCTATTGTGCAGTGTACGATCCTGGTCTGACAAAGGGAGACATGCACACTAAACTAAATATTTCCGTTAATTTCTTGACAGTTTGTTCAATGTTTTTTTTGATGTACATTAAAGGAGTGTTGACGGCTAACAGGTAATTGCCGTTCTCAGATGCTAGGAACATCATTGGTGCAGTTGAGTATGTTGGGGGTGCCATAAGGTATAAGTCACACTGAACAGGCAACTAGAAAAGTTAACCTTTCCTCTAGATGGGTTGCATATTAGTCTCATAGACCTCCTTCCTGGACCAACTCGTTAGACAATACCACCGGTTCTTCCTTAATCCAGCAAAAGTAGGCAGGGATTGAGGGGGGGTTCCTCATCCACTTTAAAAAGTGGTGTCAGATAGCAAGCTGAATTGATTTTCCAAAATAATTACATGTATGGAATACCCTTTGAATAATGTGGTATCTAGTAGTTAACTAATTGGTATGTTTACCACCAGATGGCAGGCTAATGATTGTAAAGCACAGAACCCCTGTATGAATTACAGAATAGATTCTTATACAGATGGTCGGCACAGTCTACGTAAACTACTGACCAACACTGTTGCATTTAGCCCCAGTAACTGTTGTTCCTGTAGCAGTAAGAAAAGGATGGGGAAGCTGTGGCTACCTTTTCAGTTATCAGGAAAAATATTTTAAACAAATAGCTTATGCAACCTTTGGTGAAAAGCAGCATTTATACAACAGAAGCGTTCAGAGGCTGATAGTATGAATGCCTAGGCCTTCCATGTTTTGCTTTGACACACAGAGTGATGCTTAGCTATCTTGGCTAATAGCAACTGGCAGGCCCAACTAGTCTTGTGGCATTTGTGCAAGACAGCTGTTATCTGAATGTTGGAAGTAGACTGACTGGCTCCAACAGCAACCAAAAATTGATGAAAGATTTGGTCTTTCAGTCATGGTTTGGTTTGGATTGCTCTACTGGACTGTTGCCCTATAGGCAAAATTAAACACACATCCAAATCCTATTCATGTTCACTTGGAAGTTCTACTGAAATCAGCAAAAATTTCTCACAAGATGCATGTGCATAGAACTACAGCCTAAACATGCCATAGGCTGAATGGTGGGAATAAAAAATGCCTCAAATCCACATGTTACTAAGAGTGTTTAGCATCCTCTTTAGCTCTTCTGCAGAGGACGTGTTGGTCTTTTGAGATCCCCAGATGTCTGAATAAAAACATATGAACATTTGTAACGAAAACAGAAGTAGATAGATTTGCATAGGCCCATGGTTATCCAGCTTCATAAGGAAATGTGAAATGGTGCCTTTTATTATGTACCAAGGTGAAGTGATGAATTTCTGCAACCTTTTAACATGTGCTGAGAAGTGGAGAGGTCATCTTAATCCATGAGGATGGTTGTACCAGAGTTAATTGTTTTTAGATATTAATCCAGAGTACTTAGTTATGAAGTTCGCTTTTAGTCCACCTTTCTTGGTGAGACTCAAGGCAGATTATAACAAGGGTGTAATCCTCTGACTCATTTGCATTAATTCCAAAACACTGAAGAGTATATCCAGCACTTGGAAGACTGTGGGAGCAAGTAGGCTTGTAGAAGATGGACAGAATATTTCCCATCTAAAAAAATGGGATCCAAACATTGTATCTTTCAGGATCAAAACACATATGAAAACTTGGTCACGCTTTTGGCAATGCCCAAGTAATTAGGCAGCAAAAGAGATACAAAACTTAATATGCATGAATTTCATATATTCCTAGAGTATCTTTATTTTATTCTATAATTTAATAATACACCTATAAAATAATTATAGTTATAACATTTCTTCCATTTTGTTTTCATTTATAAAACAAACATTAAATAG